TGAGATGGATGCGAAGTCGAATCTAACAAGTAATTATGCGAGTCTGTAGGTTTGTAATACGCACTAGTGCATAAACCGTTGCCTTCAATTGAAACTTTGATGTCTAAAAAGGATAAAGAATTGTCAGAAATTTCCCAGGTATATTTCAGAGCCGGGTGAAAAGAATTGACTGCGGTTATGAATTGCCTTTAAAAGCACACACAACCCACAATTCCTCTATTCGCTCCGACGTAGGGCTAACGCTCGAAACGTCAGCTTTTGCAATCGTTACGGTGGCCAATTTACCATTTCAACTTTGTTAATATATCCAAATTATAGAGAAGGAAACAGTCGTCTTTGAGTTTGAAAAAAAATCGACTAATAAAGGTGATCATTAGAATACTACAGAGCCTTAAGGGAGAATCAGGTAGATTATATATTATGACACAAAAAAAGATCCTCCACCTCCCTCCCCCACCCACACACGCACGCACACACACGCACGCACGCACGCATGCATGCCTGAATTAATAGTTAAATGAAAAAATGTGTAAGTGCCCTCGATGTTCTTTTCCCGACGTCATAGGGAGTCTATAAAGATCAAATAAGAAATTAGGGAAAGAGACCTTATTGCTCTTTGAGGAAACGAAATGATGATGACAATTGGAAGTGTCATTCTTAGAAAGTTGTGCACCACCCCCCATTTTGTCTATAGAGAGCTAAAGTTTGAATTTCCCAATCACAGACTCCGTTATTTTTCTAGTGGTCCTTTGATACTCTCATGCTTTCCATTCCCTTTTGTGTTTTCCCAAGCGGAAAGCGTAAGCGATGTGAACGCTGTGAGTTGTTGTCATGCAGGTTCAGATTGCTTTTTTTCTTTAAGAACTGATCACAACCGCGTCTGGTCATGAAGTCACTTCTGATGTTTGTATTCTGACTTTTTCAACTAATCTCGGCAAAGGTCTCTCAAGCCGAAGTGGATCCGCTTGTTAACAGGTCAATATGCACCACGGATGATATACATCCGCAGTTTAGCCAGTTCCCGTGTGCGCCAAGAACTATTCTCCCGGATAGTATGATTCCGGTAAGTAAAGCTTTATTTCCCAGACTCATGCTCGGTCACTGATGCTTACAAGGCAAATCTGATGATTTTTTGTTATGCTCTATAGGCCTGTCTTTGTATGTTTGAGGACCTTGGAATGATCGAGAGATGGAAAATTCCGAAGGAGGTGCTAGTAAGGTGTGTATTGTAAAGAATTGATTTTGTGTGTGTTATAGGTAATGAAGTGATCTCCTTCTGACTGTGGGCTTATGCCTACGTTCTTTTGGCGTGGAGTTTTGCGGGGTTTACTCAAAAATAAGTATTTTGAAATTTTAGTTTTAATCTTTTAGTGTTCAAGTGAGAAATAAAAACCAACAAAAGTAACAAAGAAATGAGATAGACAAGCATTTTTTTTAAACACGAAGGCGCGCTATATAAAGAAGTCTTCCCTGGGAAGACCTAGGCTCATTTGTCACTCACCGTTGACGTGTGCGGGTCAAATTTAAATGCTGGTAGACGAACAAAAGGAGCTAATGAGATATCTATTGTTTACTTCCACCAGCGTGGTGGCATGAGGTAACTTGCGAACTACCTACTTCGATCTCAAATTTACCGCCACAAATAAAGACAGTTTCCATTGGAGAAAGGAAATACAAATCTCAAAAATTCTTGTATTGTGATGAAGACATAAAACAATTTTGAGGAATGCGCCCGCTGTTCACTGCTTTGGAGTAGCTGTAGCTCAAGCTGACTTGACTCTAAGAGTTCTACATCACACGACGGTTGATTGACAAATGGTCCAGTGGGACCTAAGNGCACCTTCGTGTTTAATTTGTTTGATATACCATTTTAGAATTATAACACATCAGTAGAAATGAAAGAAATTACATAAACATCAAGAGGATCTAACTGACAATTTAGCATGTGGCGAGGAAACCCGAAGAGAAACCAAGAGCTTATGCGAGCTACGGGCTCCTCATATTTTACAAAAGTGAGGTTATAGGGCGTGATTAAGGCGCAGAATATTGACGTTTGCAAGTGATGTTGGATTTATGAAGTGTTATGATTGCAGGTTTTTGCTTATGGTGCGGAAAGGTTACAGAAACCCTCCATATCACAATTGGATACACGCTTTCACTGTAGCACACTTCTGTTATCTTCTTTACAAGAACGCAAAGATTAGCAATCGCTTCAGGTCAGTCAGTGTAATGTACAGTTTGGCCTCTGATTTGCTCGTTCTAAGTTGTTAGTTATTTTCACTCCGGGGAAATTTCGATCGAATTCCTTAAATTTCGAATTAAACTTTTCCGAACTTCCACTTACAAGTGTACTGTGCAAGCGCTTGTAGCCTAACACACCTCCCTCCCTCCTAAAAAAAGGCTTTGAGAGGGTGTTAGGGGTTTTAAGATGGTTGACGGATCTGCGAAAAGAAGGCGGCAACCCAGCGCAATTCTAACTCACTTGAAGTCCTTTCAAGGACATTCGACTCCATTGCTACTGTGCTTCCTACTTGTGCTCGTTTCCTACATGTGCGCACTTTGTACCAAGCACGCACGTGCTATTCCTACATAAAGCGCGCACACCGAATTAGATATATACTGCTCATCACCGCTTCAGTAACTCTTTCTCAGAATGAGTTTCGTATTTACTCTGACACCCATTTTATATAGTTCAGATAAAATCAGAAGAATTTGAAGGCGAACGTCTCGCGCTTATTGTGCTTAGTATTATGAGTTCAGTTGTAATGAGAAATTGTAGGACTATTTTGATTTTTCTTTTCCTATTTGTGGTATTTTGTTTCCTCTGCATTTCAGAGACGTTGAAATGTTGGCATTGTTCGTAGCTTGCCTGTGCCATGACATTGACCACAGAGGGACCACAAATTCCTTCCAGGTTTCCTCAGTAGGTAGACCGTCTTGGCTGTGACAATTCTTGGTATCCTGTGTTCACGATGATTTCCCTCACTGATATGGAAAAGTTTTTTTTTTTTATTTGTTAGGGCTCTACGCTTGCAGCTTTGTATAGTTCAAAGGGATCTGTGTTGGAGGTACGCAACCTCAGTTTGCCTTGTTGAAAGAATTGACTTCACGGCAATTGTCCCTTTAGTTCAGTGTATGAGAAGCACAGCTGTTCACTGTGTTAGAATAAAGAATGTTTAAAAAATGAGGCATTTAGTACGTTTGAAGAATTTGTCAAATTTGATCTAACTAACCATACAATTGGGTGGTATAATTCTAAATTTATCACCACTAATCGACGTTACCACCTGCGCCTTTGTTTGGAAGCCTGGCCTATCAAATCCGCGCACGCTCCTTTAAATCGTGATGATGGCGGCTTGCAAACTGACGCCTATTTACTCCTCGTCAGAAAACCAAAAGGGCAGCTAATTAGTGAGCATGTAAAACGAGCTTTTGTTGCAGCGATTAGATCACCCCTGATGAAGGCACTAGACAGAAGTGTCGAAATGTTGGATTTATGAATCGTAACTTCTCGGTTACATTCATTAAATTTTTAAACCAGAGTAGCATCAAACCATGTCTATTTGTCAATCAGTTGTGCCTGCGCTTTAGAATCACGTTACTATACTGAATCTAACTTGATATTTTTCTGTTTCTCTTTCACAGAGACATCATTTTGCTCAGACTATGTGCGTACTCAACTCCGAAGGATGCAATATTTTCAAGAATTTAACTGGAAAAGTATGTTGCTTTACAAAGTAACTGGAAGTTAAGCCCCTTTTTTAGAAAAAAAAAAAAAAAAAAGAACTCGCTAAAACTTTTTATTTAAATATTGATTTTTGTGAGTTTTCAAGAAGGCTTAAAGACAGAAAAAACAAACACATGCGTGCGCTTTGAAGTAGTTCGTTGAAAAGAAGAAAATTCTTTACCGTTAGTTTTACTGAGCTTATAGAGGATACCGCTCTCCTCAACGATGTAAGTGTCCCTAATACACCCCATCATCAGTATGCATATTTTCCATACGGCTGTTCTCTTTACATTTCCTATGTTGCTGACAACGAGAATTTGGTTGGTGGCCATTTCCTTTCTTCTCATGACCTTCATGTTTAATTTTTAGGAGAAATTAGAAAAAATGCTTTGGTGTTTAATTCTAAATCAATTCTACCTAGGACTTTGAAGAAGTGTTCAGTCTTATTCGGGATATTATTCTAGCAACGGACCTTGCCCATCACTTGAAAATCCTACAAGACATCAAGAACATGGCCAAAGGTAACACTGTTTCTTTCGCCTGACAACCGCTATGCTTAAAATTTACCATCTTCATTTCATCATCAACATATGCTGTTGTACTGTTATACTGTTTCTATTTTTGACTAACTTTTGTTTTTGCATTTTCAGATGGTTTCAAAAAAGATTCCAAAGATCATCACACTCTTCTTCTTTATCTTATGATGACAGCCAGCGATTTGTCTGATCAAACTAAGAACTGGGAAGGAACAAGAAGAACAGCGGTAAGCAAACTGGTCAAACGAGTTTTAAGTTATTGTAAAACTGGCAGTTACAATATTGGGAAAGTCACTCTACTTTTCAATTGCCTCTCTCCTGTAGGAGAGAGGCAATTAGTGGCTTATTATTGCTTTCAAAGTGGCAGTTTAAACCTCTCTGGAGAGTAGTTCCTTTTACATGAGCTATACAACGCATTCTGCAAGATCTATCATAAACTTCTGTGTTTATGTACGAGTAAAATCCTTTCCACCTGGCCATCATTATTCAGTTACCTTAGTATTGGCTTTATGACATTAAGTCGAAAAGCGTTCTACTCTCTCCTTTAAATAACTCGTAGCAGCAGTTGACACTGAAGAGGACGTCTTTGCTATCGTGTTTATCACAGGATTATTCTCATGCGATCACTATAACACACAGACAATCTTTCAAATTTTTATTGTGGCATCTATTTCCTTTTTAAAATGTTACTCGTTGGTCTCCTTGCTCACAGGATCTGATATACACAGAATTCTTTTCACAAGGTGACAAGGTAAGGAATAAATTGTGTAAAGGTTCAATCAACAGAGTGAATTTTAAATGGGGAAACGTATTGGGCCCTCTTTTCACCTTAACCCTTCAACTACTAGAGGTGATCAACATGTAACTTCTCCCTTTAATATTCATACATTGTCCAGCAAACAGGTGATGAGAATATTCAGACTTATCAGGGAGTTTTTATCATGACCTAACACCAAATTCTTGTACCATATCTATAAGGAAATGTGTAGCACAGAACTAAGTTTTCTTGTACTTTTTTGCTTCTTTTGCGAGATCTTATTGAAACTATGTCTATACCTTATTTGTTTATTGATTGATTTGTTTGTTTGTTTGCTCTGTTTTTCAATTTTCAGGAAAAGCACATGGGAATTACTCCAAGCGAAATGATGGACAGAGATCGAGCGTGTATTCCAAAATTGCAAATCGATTTCTTAGATGCAATAGCACTTCCAGTATACAGGTAGTTCATTGTGTAGTAGTTAGATAGCTTTTGGAAAAGAATTGGTCGTAGAGCGCGAGTTTTAACCACCGAATGTTGTCTTGTTTGGCGGATAAGTTCGAATCTGGTAAATGAGCTTATCAGAACAAACAAACCAACAGACACTCCTAGACTGCTTTACGGGAAGTCTTTGATTTTAAGGAAGTTTATCACGTCCTGTAAATATGTTCTCTACCTGTCTTCTGCTCAGATGTGCTATCTAATCGTCATACGGTGATCACTAGTGAGTACATATCGTAGCTTTGAGTTCTCACCGGCTCCTCGTTTTTCCTTCATTCTTTCTGAAATTCTGGTTGAACGACGCGACCAGGTTATGTATCCAAATTGCAATAGGCCATTTTAATTCCCCCTAGCCTCGGAGCCATGTCAGAAGTTTAATATATTGCAAATGGCATATTTCCGTTAGTTTTCTACCTGAATTTAAAACAACTTCGATTATATTTATATATTTATTGATTTTTTTATTTTTTATTTTTGTCTTTTGTCCATAACCAGGCTGTTGTCCTCTCTGCTCCCGGAGACTCAAGTCGTTTTAGACACAGTTTTGACCAACAGAGAGAAATGGCAAAAGGCCCAGGAAGATGGCGACTACGTGTACAGACCTGTGGCTACTACTGACAAAGAAATCAATGGGAATGTGCCTCTATCGCCTTTATCATAACGACGCTGTAACTCGCTCTTCCGTTTAAGCAATCGCAATAAAAATTGCGGTAGGAAGCCACAATACGACAAACTGCTGGGACGTCCTGGTTGCCACGCTTAAACTCGATAACATACGGTTTTTTTTTTTTGTTTTTTTTTTGCGTGAAGAGCGAGTTGAAACTTTGCCTTGAAGAGTTGGCTAATTGGGGTATCTGGCACATCAGTGTCCCTGGATAGTTACAGCGTTGATGTATTGCGTACATTGATAAATGTTATTTAATAATCAATTTCTCCAAGAGGCAGGGGAAATAACAGGTTCAAATGCCCTGGTTAGCTTTTAGTGATAACTCAGATCTGTGCTCGAATTTGAATCACTAGGTATTGGAAGGCTATGCTATCAGATATCAACGATACCCAGGCAAAGCAATAGATACGAAAAGTAATGGCCTCTGGTACCCGAGCTTTACTGGGACTCAACCCTGTTTAACTTTTAATATCCAGAGGTCATTTCCTTTAAAGCCTTATCGGAGAGTGAATGACAATTATGTCCTATGTGGCTAAAATTATTTAGAACATAGCTGGCAGAGTCGCGCGATCAAACTCATTATACGTAAGCGTGCTCACTGAATCCCGATAGTGCACGCTGATAGCGTCAGCAAATCCGACTTCGCCAGAAATTTTTTTTTTCGCGCGAGCGGCCATTGTTAGCGCGGGGAAAAATAATATATTTCGCGACAATAATGGATACAAACAGAAACTCGGCCTACTAGTCCGAAAACGAAGACAATGTTTCCACCTTTTCCCTTGGGCTAGAGTTCTTAAATGAGGCAGAAAAAGAGAAAAACAAAGCAAAAGGAGACTCGGCATCAGCGCCGTCACGATTCGCTTCAACTGTTATTGTTGTCCGTTTTTGCCTCGCATTTGATGCACAATTCCACCGGCTATGTTCTAAAACAATTGGTTCATGCTTTCAGCTGTGCACTATCGAGTTATGGAGCACGTGGGAAGTTTGGAGAGCACTCAAGAAGCTAGAGTTGCCCTCGGCCATCGCCTCGGGCAACTCTTACGCTTCTTTCGTGCTCTTCAAACTTCCCGCGTGCTCCATAACTCGATAGTGCACGCCAAAGCATGAACCAATTGTTAATTTAAACCACATTTTCCGTCAGAGTGCTCTTTATCGTGACCAATTTTCTCGTCGCGCGAGCGAAGCTCTCTAAACATGATGATCTCACAAATATACATACGTTGTCACCCACGGGTGACAATTTTGTTCATAGCTTCATTTTCACCAGAATTTTTTGCGATTCCGGCTTCCCTCTATGATTAAATGACAAAGTTAACGAAAAATGGAGCGTAAAATTGGGATGCCATAATTTTGAATTACAGTAATCTCAGGTTCAAGACCTGATTTTTGCCAGTTACGATTTAGACACCTGATAAGTAGGTTTCTGATTATAATTTACGAGTCGTTCTTTGTTTTACAACTCTTTGACTCCCAAGATCGCACAAGTAATTCTCCTTACTGTCTGCCACACAATTTTTGTGATGTTAGTTTGGACAATTTGGTATTGGATCAGCAGATAATCCCCTGAGATTCGTTTTTCCCCATTCTCATTGCTTGTCTGCTTGATATTGTAAGGAGAAATTCTGGCTTGGTCAGTCGTGAGAGTTAAAGGGTTAGGGCCAAATACAGCGACCCTTAAACATAGTTACCTTCCCGTTAGAGTGGTATCCACACAAAGTTTACGAAAATCGACGTAAAGAAAACGGTGTAGGTTAGCCGTCTATTTGCGGCGCAGTTTTTATGCCTGTTTGTTTTGCTTGCTTTGGTTGATAATTTTTTTGATAACATTATTTATGTCCTTGCAAGCTTTTTTCAATGCTGTTACGGTTGTTTTACTGACATTAGCTGAGGAACAGAGCAGCTAAGCGAAATACCGGGAAATGTTGCCCTTGTAAGCTAGTTGGAATATTTATTTCAAAACATTCATGAGTCGTTCGGTAAGGAACTTCTTTAACGTGTGAAATACGATGGAACAGTTTTCATACAGTCGAAGATTTTAAGCGCACAAAAATTCACATCGGTTAAGATATAGATTATAGACTTTAACTACTTTATGATTTCGTTTTTTGGGGAACTTTTAATTCACGTTGATTTGTAAAAAAAAAAAAAAAAAGATTGGGGGGTTGCTGCTTCTGAGCGTTGACTGTTCCAAGGGAAGGGGAAATCCGAGTTTTACATCTGAAAGGTGGCGTTCAAAATTACTGTGAATTGTTGATTAAGGAATCATCACGTACGTTATACAATGGGTAGCTTTCTTGTTACGTGGTCTTGAGTCTTTTTTTATTGCGATGTTAAAACCACATTCTTTAAATGTTAATTTACCGTCTTTAGGTTGAAGACCATACAAAGCATCCGTAAGTTGATTGATAAAGCGTAAGTTAAAGGTATTTATTTATAGGAAAGGTAAGAAATTGCCAGATATGTAAATTTATTATGAATACACAACACTGTGGTTGGTATAAGTTTACTCAGATAGTCGTACATTAAAGATGATGCGCGGGCCAGATATGCCAACGTGCCAACCATGCAGCTAGTAAAGACACCAGCGGCGTAAAAGAAAACCTGAGGGTATACAACTATTTCTGTGCGGATTCTGATAATATTATATAGAGTGGAAGTTGCTGCTGCTTTTGGCATCTTACCTCAGGATTTCCCTCTTCCTTTCTCGGTTTCCCGACTTGTCGTCTCAAATCGGAATCTAAATAAACATACGCTATTCATTTAATAGCAAAATATTATGTACTTTATAGGTACTGATGAAATACCAGGATTTTTCCTTTTACTAAAAAATCATATCTTCATCGCGCGCATTGAAGATACTATTTTTATCTCTCACGTGTGAGGATATTGCTGTCGCCATGGTTACTAACATGATTACACCATTTCTTTATTAGAATTTTGACTTTTTGGAACAGAAAATATAAAGATATAAGTATTATTGTCTTTATTACTCCTTTATAACTTTATATCCGAGTTTCCTAACGTTTTTGCGACGCATTTTGCGATGCTGACCACTTTAATTCCCCACTCCAGAAACTATGAGGAATCTGGGCACGAACTTGACTCGTAGGGTATTTGTGGGATCGTTTGGGTGGACGCGCGAAACTTCAAAATGGCGGCAGAGAAAGCCATTTTTTCCAAAAAAGTTATTATCGAGGAAGACATTCCCGGAGCGAAGCTTCCTCGAGAAAACGTTGAAGAGTATACTGTACCACAGCTTAGACGATGGCTGTTGTGTAGAGGAGCGAAAACAAGCGGCAAGAAAGCCGATCTTGTCAAGAGGTTTGCTTAGACGATGTTTTTGTTATTGATCATTTGTCAGGGTTTGTTATTTTGATATCGTTTGCTTTACGGTTAATTTTAGATATAACGACTATATCAAGCGAGGTCTTCATTTATAAACCTTACGAGATCCCGATGGAGGTGTGCATCTTGCGCGAAAGAAAGTCTTACTGGGTTTAATAGATGAAGTAGACCCTCGACATGTTACTGATATTTTCCCTAAGGATGGTTTCCATGAGGATCTTACTGATTTGCCACATGTAAAAATTCTTGGTAGACCTAGTTGCAAAAGTGGGGGGCAATCAAAACATTTTCGATCATAATTTCCATAGCTCATGTTTTCCGCTGCATCCTTCACCATACCAAAGCAAAGCATTAGTGTTTTATGATTGGGAAATCCAGTGTAAAAAGCAATGTCTTCGTCCTTATCTTTGAACTGATTAAATCTAAGTAGTCCCGTTTGGGTGGCAAAATTTTATTTGACCGCTTCATAACATTCAGTTTGCAAAGATTCATCTTTGTTGCGTACTTGTTCCGTTTGCATATACCTTGATCCGTGACTTGTGAGCAGCACATCCCCCGTCTGACAGAGATCACTTTCTGGCAAAGGGTCTTCGGAATGGACTTTCTTTACAATTTTTTCGGAAGAAACACGCTTTAAAATACGTCGAGTTTCCACATGCTTAGACCATGGAAAAATCGAAGGTAAATGAAGCCTGCTGCGCTTATGTCCACCCTCAAAGTGATCTCCACAAATACGTGTATTATCGGCGTGGATTTTTAATGTTGCATTACGAATTAGAATTCTGTACTGTTTTCGTAATTTTTTGTCCTTTGGAAGTCGTAATACGAAAGCCCATCCTTGGTTCTGTAATTATTCGTTCATCCAGGAACACAACAATTAGCATGCTTTACCATTTTTTTCTTTAGTGTTTTGCGAAAACTTTCCTCGCTACGGCTATTTTGAAGTTTCGCGCGTCCACCCAAACGATCCCAGACGACACTACGAGTCAAGTTCGTGCCCAGATTCCCAATAGTTTCTGGAGTGGGGAATTGCACTATTTGCCGTTTCGAAAATGAAAAAAAAAATGTTTTATGTTGAAATTTCATCAGAATCTATAAAATAAACAGAACATTACATGGCTGCTTGGTGATACGAATTTTATCTTCTCGTGCTAAAATTATCTCTAACTCGTTCACTTCTTTTACTCGTGAGAGATACAGCACTCGAAGATAAAATCCGCATCCCCGCGCGGCCATGTAATATCCTCTATTTATATCGTAATACTTTTGACCTGTGACCGTAATTACCAAGATTTTTGCATATGAGCGTGATCTGATTTTGGGTAATACCCACGACTCGTGGAAAGGAATATATATATATATATATATATATTCACTTTTGACGGAAAAGTTACTTTTTTAGAGTGGTGGTAAATCCTCAAGAAATCTGAGTGGGAGGCTGTTTCGTAAGAGATGCATGGTTTAAAATCGCCTCGAGATCTTACCTTTCAGCTTCGATCTATTGTTACGTAAAAATCATTAGTGAGTCTACGCAGGCAGGATGTACACGTTTCATTAATAGTTCTCTTTAAATGATTTTCGCGACTTTTTCGAGGCAATTTGAAATATCTTTTGACTTGCGGGTAGAACTAAAGATTTATGTTTTTCTTTCATTAAAGTGTGGAAACCTGTAAAGCGGGACTCGGGAAGTTTGTGCTGCCTTTGACATGTCTTCGAAATGAAGATTTCGCTAAGTCGTCTAGTATTAGAAAGCTTTTTTCGCAAGTGTTTGAGTTGCCCGAACTTCCCTTAATACCAGAAAGAGTACTTGAATGTCGCTTTCACAAACTTTATAGAATAACTCTTCCTTTTGCTATACTATTACGTAAGTGATGATATTTGAAATTCGTGGTCCTTCCGTTAAGTGAATGATGCTGTTAGCTACACGCCATTACGTTCAGTATGAAAGGTTTTTAATGAGCGTTGGCCCTTGTGAGCAGTGCCAAGATGGTTTATTATAAAAACTAGAGAGAAATTTATTTATTCAAACAGCCCCACTTACAGTGAATTCTGAGGGTCGATCGATTGTCTTAACCTGTGACATGATTGAT